AAAAGGGCTTTGGATACAAAATTAAGGGCACAAATATTTATTTTGTGGGTATAGAACAAATTTTACACACAAAAAATTGTATTTGTTTCCTCTTCTATAAGGGCACCAACTAATGTGCTCATTCTCTACAAAGTTGGCACAAATAATTTTCTCTCTCAACTTTTTCAAAACAATGGATTCAAATATATTTATTTGTGTCTATATATTACTTCAAAAGACACAATTAATTTTTTTTATTATTTTTTTCTAAGACTTATGACTCACACCTTACTTTCTCTCCCTCTCTTTAACCCACCGACACCCTTAACCAATCCACATCCCATTCTCTCTCTCTCTCTCTCTCTCTCTCTCTCCCTCCTTCCCTTAACCCACCCACCACACACTCTCTCTCCCCTCCTTAACCCACCCACACCCTCTTCTCTCTTCCATCCGTACCCCATTCTCTCTCTCTCTCTCTCTCTGTCTCCCTCCTTCCCTTAACCCACCCACCACAGACTCTCTCTCCCCTCCTTAACCCACCCACACCCACTTCTCTCTTCCATCCGTTTCTCTCTTTACCAAATGGATTACTTTGGTCTCACACATATATATTAATCCTTAATCCTCAGTCTTTCACTTCGTGAATTCGTCCCCTGAATCGCGATTCCACCCACAGTCCACACCACCTTGCCCGAATCGAGCTCTCAGTCTTAGTCCTCACTCCTCCTCACTCCACAAGGTAAGAATATCATGCAATAAACTCAACCAAAGTTCATGGATATTGTTTTATTTTGAATCTGGTTAGTGATTTTGAATATGGGTTATGAATCAGAGCTTTTGAAAACGGTCTCTGAATTAGGGATTTTGGATTAGGGTCTCTCTATACCTCTCTCTCTCTCTCACTCCTCTCATATCTGGGTTTTTCCTTTGTTTTTTTTTTCTTTGAAAAACACCAACACCACCCATGCATCATATTTGAGTTCGTGTTTTTTCGTTTCGAGTTTATATCTTATGAGATCTGACATGTATATTTTGTATCTCGCCTTGTTGCTTATGGATTTGAGTTTTGAAATTATTTTACATTTTTTTTTTCATATTTGCCCGTTGCATGCAATTTTGGATATGAATATGATGGATTTTTGGTTATTTCATACTGTGAGGTTTCTCGGTGACTGGTTTGGTCGACCCGATCCAACTCATATTGGAGCAGTTTAGAGCCTTGTTCACTCTGTCTCTGCAACCTCAAAGGCCCTGGCCTTGTCACGCCCCCATTGCCGGTTCGTATTCTTTATTTGTATGGAAGAATTTCATATCTATTATTATATTTACGGAGCCATGTTGCTTAGAATTTTAGGATTTTGGATCTTCAATTTTTGGAAAAGCGTAAGTTTTTTTTTATTGATTTATTAGGAGTTGTCTTGATTCCACCCCTCCCCCAATAATTATTTATTCGTTTTTTGACTTTTCTTTTATGGTGTGGTAGCATTGAAAGAAGAGGATTTAGTAATTGGATCTAGGTAGAGATGAAATCAGAAGTGAAATACAAAAAAATGTATTCAAATGTGAAGTTCTTAAGGTGCTAATGTTTAATCATGTTAGTACAAGTTTCATCATGGAAAATGTAATATCGTTATACTGTCTATGCTAACTTAAACAAATATTTACCATGTATGTGATTAAAATAAGCAACTCACTTTGACCATAAATAATATACATACTTATATATTTCTGTGATTCAGGTGAGTCAGGTGACTATGAGCTGAATGTATTATCTCCAACCCAAAAATTGGTTTTACAACCCGAAGTGAGGAATTTGAATCTTTGAGATGGCAGATCTGGAACTTGTAGGTATTGATTTTAATTAACTCTGTTTAGGTATAATTTTGGACTGATTGTGTTTTGAATTCGACTATATTTGTGTTGGCTTCTGATGAATATAGTAGTCTATGTTAGCTGAGTGAGTCTTTTCTCACTGGCATCAAGCTAGAGATTATGTCGGTCTTCAACAGTTTTTGGCCATGGTCGCTGTTAATAGCATTAATTCCATTTGGTCAATTTCTATGGTTTGTTACAAAATGTACCCTGGTCTTTGTGTTTGAATACTAGAATCAAAATGAAGATGATAATATTTCTGCACCAAATCTGAACCTTGAGCAATTAGCCATGTAATCTTATGCAGAGTGTGATGAGTCTGAACAATGTAGTAATGCACAGTCAGTTGTTATGGAGGGTGGACTTATTTTTGATGAGGAATATTTGTATACTTTCCGCATCCATTGTTGGTTGTTCTGGAGGGTGGAGTTGTTATATAAGAATCATCTTAAAGCAAGTGGTGGAAAGACCCTTGAAGCAAATAAGAGTCCTCCCACAAAGGTATTCCCTTCTTACCTTCTTTATCCCTTCATTTTCTTTGCTCCTGTAAAGTGTGTGGTTTTTCTTTTTCTTTGCATTTGTTATTCATGACTTCTGTGAGAGTCCATATACTGCATGTCATCTGATTAATTCGTTTATGGAGCAGCAAAGATTTGATGAGGTGCAAGGCCTGCTGGGAAGATGCATCTATCCAAAAATGTTTGCTTTCAAGTTTTTTTTTTTTTCTTTGGGTATTAGAGAGAAAATATGTAACACAACAATATATGTTTGTGAGATTCATAAAGTGAAAGTTGGTTTCATGGTTGTAGGTATTCTTCATTTCGTGAAAATTTAAATTTTTGCATTTCCTCAATTTAGATTCAATTTTTCAAATTTTGATTTTTTTTTTATTAATTAATTTATGTTGGCACAATTACAATATAAGTGCCAACATAGCTGGAAAAGCTGATTTGAAAAGTTGTCAGAACGGGGCACAAATGGGCCATTATTTGTGCTGGCCTCTCTGGCACAAACACCCCTATTGTGCCCTTTTAGAAATGGTGACGCCCATAGAGGGCACAGACATAGAGATAGTAGCTGCACTGTTGCTATTGGTCTATGAGCACAATTGTCAGTGCTTTTTGGCCTCAAAGGGCACAGATAATTTATTGTGTGCAATGCTCATTTTTCTTGTAGTGATAGAGTATGAGAATATTGTTCAAATGATTTATATCCTTATAGCTTCATGAGTAAGCACTCCTATTAACCCCAAGACGTTGCCACAAGGTACAATGCCAGACTCCTACTTCTTCATTTTAGGTGAATAATCACCAATCATTAACTCCTAATGATTACAAACTTGCCAACTCATCCTTATTTGGTAAAAATATCATGTCAATCTCATATAATCACACTTCTCCAATTCAAGCTAAAAACATCTCTAATTATATATGACCATGAAATAATACTAGCTAGTTTTTGAAATAATTTTGTATCAAAATGAACTTATGTTGAGACTAGTTTACATATGAAACGTATATGTTCTTGTACACATAACGTATGAAAAGAAACCCAATAAAATCATTACGTAAAACTAACTTTGCACACACACACGCATTATATATAATCATTTTTTTAATACCCTAAATTGTCTTTGTTTTATAAGATACATCATACATGTATCTTTATTTTAAAAAATGAACAAAGCAAGAAAGTCTTTATAAACTAATAAATATTAATATATCACTAAATTAATAAATTATTCATTTATCGATTTAAAACCACCTTTCTAAAATAATAATTTTTATCCCAACATTATTCATTTATAGAGGTTTCATTGTATTTGTAAACTTACTACATTTTTTAAATACAAAATGTATGATTTGGACTAGGCACACAATGGGTTAGACATAATAATTTGGGTCGAATTGCCACTTAGTACTACGGTCTAGTGGTATTCATCTTCACTTGTAAGTGAGAGGTCTTATGTTTAATTCTAGCCAAAGACCAATTTGAACCACATTATTGCTAGCTCATTGTAAGGCTAAGCCAACCCTTTCCCCCTTAGTTAGATAATATCGTTTGTTAAAAAAAAAAAAAGGAATAAATAAATAAATAAATTTGGGTCGTTTTGGCCTTCAATGATAATTAAACCTAATACCTTTCATTTACAAAGGATGAGAAATATTACTAGACCTTAGTACTTAAGGACATACTGTCTGCATTGATTCCATTATATTTTACATATCAAAATCTAATAGATTTTTTTTTCAGTATAATACATCCGTTACATTTTCCATCCATTAATCCATTAAGAGCTGACGTGGCTATCACATTTGTGCCACGTGGCAAAAAAATACTTTTTTATGCATTAAAAATATTATAATATTGATCCTATTAAAAAAAAAAAAAAAAAAACCAACCTAGAAACCTCTCCCAATCCACCCTCTTTGCTCCCATCGCAATCCAATCAAGCCAAACAACAATACAAAACCTAAGTTTGTTGACCAACCAATAAGCTTATAGAAAGTGTGCCCGCTTTGTGGCTAAAATTCACTTTGCTTTTGACTAAAGGATCCTTCATGCTTTGTGAAATTTCCAGTCAGCTTCCATATTCTCTCTGAAAAAACCACAAACCCCAACACAATATCTCTCAAAACATGTTAACCACAACAAAATCCGCTCCCGACTCCACCCTCCCTCGCTGCTCCCACCACCATCTCCTCCACTAGACTTGGACCTCCCGACTTCTCCACGTAAGCCTAGACAAACTTCCCCATGTAAGCTCAAACAACAAGGTTAATTGGTATGAACAGCAGGTGAGCAGTGGGCACAATTAGTTAGGCAAGGTAGGGGATCAAATGAACCTCGGGGCAGAGGTTTGAATATTGGGTCCAAACCAACTTGAATAGATTGGCTACACGTGTAGTATCAGGAAGACGATGTGGCCATGGAAGCCATATGAAGGTATCATAAACCCTAGAAATTGCAAAGAACGTGGAAGATGGACTGGGAAGATGGGTGGGGATATCAGACGCGGAAGATGGCTTGGACGAAGAAGGGAGAAAGGGTGATAGGTGGGTAGGAGGGGGAGGGGGAGGAACGCCATGGGAGGGAGGTGGAGATGAAGGAAAAGAGGGCGAGAGTTGCAGAAAGGTGAGGGAGAGTTGAGGGAAAAGGAAGGGGATCTGGGTGTGGGTTTGGATATATATATATTTTAATTAGATAAATTATTATAAAATTTTAAATGCATAAAAAAAAAAAATTGCCATGTAGCACAAATTTGACAGCCACGTCAGCTCTTAACAAACCAATGGATGGAAAATGTAATGGATGTATTATATTGAAATAAAATAGTACTTGAGGTATGAAAGTGAAATGTTTTGAATATGTTGTATGAGGTTACAATTAGGGGTGGGCAAACGAGGCCTGAACCTGCGGTTAGGGGAGGGTCCAAGCGGTTCGGGGCGGGTCCTGTTTTTTAAAATCTGAAACAAGGCGGGGCAGGGTTGGGCGGTTCCATGTTATTTATGGGGTGGGACGGGTCCTAATTGCTGAGGAAACGAGTCCCCGACCCGAACCGAAGTATGAATTTACTTGGAAATGTTATATGAATTTGGTATAAACTTGAATACAACTTATATCTGCAGGTTGAACATGTCATTTGCCAACTATTTTTTGGTATAAGAAAAGATTACATTATATACACACAATGCAAACATGTTACCCATCTGTTTATATACATGTTATATTGATACATATAATGATTATATGTTAAACAGAGCAATCCCAGAGAGTGATTGTTTCCCATCCCAAATAATAATTAT